TATTGTACTCATTTTCTTTTCCTCAACTCATTCAAGTTAAATTTTCAGTTTTTTTTTTTTTATTGATGTTGCTTTTGAATAACAACGATAGAGTAATTAGAATCAGAAAAAATAACAAAAAAGATCGATAAACTAGAATCTGGAATGTATGAATTGCATTCATGTTTATCTATTCATCTGAGAATCCTACAAAATTTTGATGCAAAGTCATGGTTACAAACTATGAAGTTCAAGTTCAGTGAGAATAGATCTTGACAATAAGTTTGTTAGTTTACAACTGGTGAAGTAATAATAAAATTAAGTAATTAAATGATATTAATACTTTTAGAGCAGATCAATTTCAGTTAAATAATGAAATAGTGAATAAATTACTCAATAAAAATCTGATTTGTTTTATAAGTACATGTTAAATTAGTATGATTTGTTTTATAAGTACATGTTAAATTAGTATGGTTTGTTTTATAAGTACATGTTAAATTAGTATGATTTGTTTTATAAGTGCATGTTAAATTAGTATACTTTCAAACTTTAGCTTGTAGTTTGTCTTTTAATTTTCATTTATTCAACATTATTGTGTTTTTCAAAGTTCTCAGTTTGAGCATAAGATTCGCTCAAATAACACTTTAATTTTCTATGTTTTGAGAGCATGTACGATCTGGATTCGCTAATCGGCAAATAGCCGACTTTTTTCTTTCTTTCTTTTTTTTTTTGCAAGGAAGACAGCACGTGACGTCTACGAATAGAAAGCTATTTTTTTCTTTCGACGAATTGTATAAGGGTCAAGGGCACACGCGCTCTAGAGCTCAACTCCAAATGGACACAAATCTTGATAGTGAGATGCGTTTAGTGTGCAAGTCTGGCTTTGTCCGTGTGGTTTGTATGTTGCCCCCTATTAAATACATTTGTATAAATATATAAAGACTTTTAGTTTTAACTTGCTTTCATTAAAGTTTGATTTCTTTGTTTTGACTTAATGTTTAACTTTAAATTTTTTGTAGTAGTAATTTGAGCATTGTTTTCTCGCTTGGGTTAGAGAGTCAAATTAATTTGCTTTAAATCGGCCACTTTTAAATTTAGTGTATGTTAACAAGTAAACATTTAGTTTTATTTAATTTGTTTTCTAAATTAGCTATTTACTGTTAACTTTGAGGTTTTAATTTAACTTACAGAGAGGTACACACCAAGCTGATAAACTATTCACTTTTCAGTTCGACATGCAACACTGAACACTTGTCCTAGTTTTGATTTTGCAATGTTTTGTGTTGTTATTTGGGTAAATAAACATTTGTGTGCACTCGTATTTCTATCGGTGTCGAGTCTTCCTTCTAAACTATCCCGGTTGGAGATTAGAGAGATCAGTATACTCTGTAATCTGGTGTTCTTCGAACCTTCAGTTGACGTGCCGAGCTGACTGCTCTGCGAGAAAACCTTGTTGAAAACATACAATATAAAATTTAAGAAGAACAAGAAGCCGTCCCAACTAAACAAAAACAACAACAAATGTAATTTGTTGTTATGTTTTTATTTTTATATGAACATTGTTTAGATTAAATTTGTATTTAAAAATATGCGTAACTTATAGTGTTAGATATGTATTGCGTGTAACGCATTTGTTATATATTTATTGTAATGTCAACGTTTGTTTGGATTGAGTTTAAATTTTAAAACGTGCCCAGCTTACAGTGTTAAATACGTATTGCGAAACTCCCGTCAATTCTCCAAAGTAGTAGAATATTCGTGAACGTAAGAATCGACAATATATCCAATTATATTCATAGGAAAGAAATTATACGGGAAATTAAGTAACGACCAGAGACGTAACAAACTGGTGTCAGAAGTGGGGTGGGACAGAAAAGAAAAAAAAAATGGAAACGAGAAGCGGCAAATCAAACTACAGCTTAGCAGATTTGATGGCAGCAATACAACAAACAACAAGAACAACAAAAGAACTGAAAAAAGTTTCTAAATAAAATATATAGCTACACAGTTTCTGTCTCACTTTCGCCTAGAATTGCCATCATTTTCGCCATCTCCTGGTTATATGATTCTTGCCCCTCTTTATAGTCGGCTTTAAGGATGGCTGCTCTATCTGCAGAATCTATAAAATTCCCAATCACGCAGTGTTGGCTATAGTTCGACACTTATCATCAGTTATCACCATGATTGCCGATCCGATGCTCGAAACTAAGCTTGGTGCTATCTTTTAAACTAGGGCTTAAAGACAGCCTAGACGTTTGTGTAACATGGCCGAAATCGATCATGCAGTGGTAAATCACAACAACAACAAAACAAAACAAAAACAATAACTGTGATCCTGTCAGTAGCGTCGTGCCCGAAAGGACTGGAACCATATACATAAACAAATAATACGCGACATCATATATAGTTGCAACAATAAGTTAATAATTGCTATTTACATGTGTCGTGCCTGCCATATAAGCATTAAATTACATCCACGGTCTTCACGCAGCTATATGCATATGCATGTAGGATATTATGAGGCTCCACATAAATCATAGACGACATTAAAAAGATTGGGTGTCAGCGGTTATACAGCCGCTCTTATTTGCTAGTTGCCAAATAAACTTTTAAACTACTCTACACAATGCGCAATGATGCGTTTAGTAACATTGCTCAGGTTCTATTATGATATTCACAGCCATTTTTTGCTACAGTCTGGCGGAACAATATTAAATAATAAAGAAGAACAATTGGGCGATCACTATTATGAACCACTACCGTTTACCGTGTATTTGTGGCTCATGATACTTCAAAGTTAAACTTTTCGAATAATAGATCATGAACCATAAAAAATCACATAAAATAAGATACATGAATATTGTTATTGATAAGTAAATTATAGTTTTATTGTATTTCTACGACATTACACGCATTTGTTTATAATCTACATGATATAAGAAAGTTTTCACAAAGTTCAAAAATATATACCAAAGAACAGAGGACATGTAGCATATATAAACAAGGAATTAAAAAATTGATTTTTTTTTGTTAATCACAAATATATACAATGAGTTATCTTTTATCGTTATAAGACTTCACACTAGGAGCACTTCAACATTTAGCATCAGGAGAAGTTGTTATACACAAGATTGAGCTTTTGTAAGCAGGATGAAGGTTCGATTTCATGTTCGACTTAGTTTATACTTGTTATTGTGATGTAAATATTTCGTACTGTGTTTTATATACAGCAAGCTTGCTGAAAGAAAGTAATCTATACATTACAACACACGAAGGATAAAGCTAACACTCCGTGGTAAAGACATATATTTCAAAATTCTACACACTAAACACCAAACCAAATGTCATTTTTAGTCATACATTTTAGCAAAACTTATACAATCGTTAGTTTTAGCGAAAATATCTAGTGTTACACTAACTATATTTATATTTACACCGAAACATAAGAATTAATATTGTACTTTCTTATCGAAACCTGAGAAGAACAATTTAATAGTATGAGAATAAAATATATAAAAATTAAAACGGATGTGTAACGAAGCAGCAACCAAAAACAAATTGCTGTCTTATAAAAGCCAAGTTAAGTGTAGATGTTTTTCCCAAAATCCCTGTTAAGTTGCACAGTGCGGTTCAAAATCAAAAATAACATTTAAACCGCAACTTTTAAAGTGTTATAACTTAAACATAAATTGGTGTTATTTTTTATCTGATCGTTCAGCACAGCTGATGAATTTTGGTACTGAATGAAAAGATTCTTTGGCAGATAGATCTGAAATGTTAATTTTATACACCTCTAATTTTGAGTTGCAATTGACAAATTAATGGAAACGTGAAAAAAACAAACAAAAACAACCCTGCAGTTTACTTGATATTTATAATAATTTTTAGGCTTATTGGTTTCCAGTAATTCGTCAGTTTTAAGCGCTTAAACCGTAATAATTGCTGTGAAGAGATAGTTGAAAAAAACATTATTGTGTTGTTAAGCAACAGACGAACATCATTAGTGAATCGTTAAGGAACAATCAATGTTGTCAGTTCTTTTCTTTTTCTTTGTCTCGAATAAATTAACGAAAGTTCCATTAATTTACAAAAAAAGAAGAAAAAAAAAGTCTACCATTAAATTAGTTCACTCTGACATTGGTTGTATTGGATGCGTCACTTCACACTTTACAAGGTTAGATCTTGAATCGTTTGGATTGTGGCCTGTTCACAGGAGAACGGTTCAAAAGTGCCAACAGAAAATACCACACGTCACGGGCAATGACTGAGCGGGTAAAGACCAGTCTCAATAAGAATAGTATCAATGTGAAACTGACAGTCTGGCTGATCCAGTATTTCCTGAAACAACAGAATTTTTTTTCATTATAAATATATAACAGTGAGGTTGAGAGTATGGAATTTTTTTTTATACATTCTTCAAGCATTTCGCATTATCTAATATTCTGCTACCATACTTAAATATGAAGTTTGTTTATTTTGGGTATATTTATAATAACAGAAAAACATTAGGAATACCGAACAAGTATTCCGATACTTTTATTGACTGTTTACGCGATTTCATTTTCCTTTGATTCGCGTAAAAATGTCTCACAAGATTTTTCCACAGCCCCGAGGTGGGTTTATAAGAAATATTTAAATAAAGTTAGGAGTGGGTTCAGTGGGTTTGGGTTCAGAAGGACATAACAGGATTTCTATTAACACATGAAAATGAACAAGAAATCAAATATTTTCATATGATTTGTTTCAAGTTCACTTTAAATTAAGTGAATATAAAATTAGTTTTGTCTCGAGACATTATATGTGTGCACAAATAACGGACACTTGACGAAAATTATTAGCATTTCAACATAATAAAGTGTAAACCAATTATAATTGTTGTTAATATATTACGTTACTCAATTGTTAAATAGGGCCCCGGCATGGCCAGGTGGTTAGGGCGCTCGACTCGCAATCTCAGGGTCGCGGGTTCGAATCCCCGTCCCACCAAAACAT